ATCCTCCAAACCAGCCTCCCCCTCATCATCTCCACCATCCTCAGGCTCATCCTCCGCCACCACAAAGTCTCCAGCACTGAGGCAGATGTTGTGGAGGATGGCACAAGCGGTAACAACCTGTAATACATAAATTAATTGAAATATATTTCAAAGAAAAGAGAAAAGCCACATTTCGTACACTTATGTGAGGCACAAAGGTGGGGTGGACCTCCAGCGCTTGCAGGAAGATGGCTCTGAACCTGGTTTTCATCATTCCAAAAGCACACTATCACAGAGCGTGCCTTGGAATGATGGCTGTTAAAGCGCTGGGCAGCCACTTGATTCCCACGTTTGTAGGGAGTGATGAGTGGGAGTGGGCTTTGCAGGCATGGGTACCCACCATCTGCGAGGATGAAGTGCCCTGGAGGAGGGTAGACTGACTGCCTGTACAGCGGGCTGTGGCGGAGCACCCTGGAGTCGTGCACCGACCCCGGCCAGCCCATGTACGTGTCATTGAAGCAGCCCTGTTGGTCACACACAGCCTGCAGGATGATGGAGGGGAACAGTTTCCTGTTCCTGTAGCAGTGACCATCAGGGCCGCTTGGAGGCTGATCCTGATGTGGCAGCCGTCGATGGCACCTGCAGCTTTAAAAAAAGCTCTATGCCGTGCCAGCCCTGCAAACCCCTGGGACACCACCTCTAGGTCTTCAGGGGTTTTTGGAAGGTGGATGACCTGGTGGCGAATGGCCACAACCTCCTCCGTGACTCTGAGGACGATGCGGTGGACAGTCGAACGAGGTATCCTGAACGCTCTGGAGACCACCCCGTAAGATGCTCCGCTTACCAACCAGAAAAGAAACACCAGGGTCTCAATTGTGGCACCCCAACCATGACGCCGATCTTGGTTCAGCAGATTCAGCAGCACTGAAAGGGACTCCCTGCTCAAACAAAAGTCTGGTCTCGGATCTTGCTGGTTGAAGAAACGGTCCAGGACTGGGAGACTCAGGTTAATCCTACAGTATCTGGGTCTAGTCTGGTTAAAGAGAAATACAGAAAAAATAATGTTTTATTTCAAAGCTGTAATTTCAAGTTTTTATAAAACAACATTATTCTCAATGTAAATATGATAATATTGTGCATTTTTATGCTATTCTTTCAAATTTCTAAAAACTTAACTTTTGAAGAATGTATGCAATGAAGGCCAAAAGATCAATTTTCTGTAATTAAGTTTTGTAAGTCATATAACAAGTTCTTATTTTTGTCCACTAGATGTCCCTCTACAGGTAATTGATGGTTCCATATAATGTGCTCTTTCTGCTAACAGTTATTGGTTATTTAAAGAAGTGTCGACCCTTTCATAAATCCTGACTGTGTTACAGAGATAATTTCTTCCAAGCAAAATT